CCCGGCTCGCCGAAGTAGCCGTATTTCTCCAGGAACAGCTGCAAGAAGAGATGGGAGAAGTGCAGCTCAGAGCTTGTGGGTGGCTTGGGAAGGGAGGGGAAAAAAGGAGATGCAGTGGCAAACAGTGCTGCAAACCCGGGGCTGCGTGAAATTCCCACTTAGTTTTTTCCTGAGACCTCTGCACCTCAAGCAGCCGCACCTCCTGTGCCCGTACAGGTTTAGGTGTGTCTCCACCCCATCATTTTTGATGGCTCTTGGGGTTTTTGGCCATGACACGACGGAGGCGTAGGAGGAAACATTGCATCAAGAGATCAAAACACTCTGCTGCCGTGTCATCCACGGCCAGAGGCGACCAAACCCACAGCTCTGATCCCCTCAGCTCAACGCAGCGATTGAAATAAAGGCTAAATCGCTGTGGACACGAGGAGGGTGGGGTGAGATGGGGTCAGGCTGCAGCCTCCCCCCATCCCCACGCAGGATGTGCTGCTGCAAAGTGGAGACACGCCGGGGGCAATCAGCTCTGCCAAACCATTCTTCTCCTTATCGGCCATTGACACGGATGGAGGTTGTCTCTCTGAACTTGCTCCAACACTTAAATTGTATGTTAAGGAAAATAAACGGCTTCCCTCGGCTCAGGCTGCTCCCCAGCTCTCGGAGAAGTTAATAGCCGGGGTCACAGGAATGCTCCACACCCGCCCGCCCCGCGGGGGATGTCTGCGGGAGACAAACAAGCTGCCCAGCATCCTGTTAGTGCAGCAGAGTCGGAGGAGTTACAGTAATGAATAATAAGAAGAATAAGAAGTGAAAGTGGTGGCTTCCTTTCCCCGCATCCCAAAGGAGAGGTGTGAGGAGCAGCAGGAATGCCATGGGCTGACCCGGACAGCACGGCCGGTGCCCTCCGGGAAAACGTGTGTTTTTAAAGCTGCTTCCCTCCCTGCTCATCTCAGGGCAGGGAAAAGGGGGTTGGGATGTCAACCTCAACCCAGTCCCCCTGTGGAGGAGGCAGCATCCCTTCCTGGGCCTGTCACCTGGCAAGGAGCAGGAATGGCTTATGGACATGGCAGTCCTTAGGTGTGCCAGGGCCTCTTCTTCTCCTTCTGCCCAAACCTTCTGCTTGTCACTAACAGTCATCTTCACATCACCCCCAAACACGTCACCCCTGCACCTGCCACCTCCCCACGGGCAGGGTAGGCACATCCCCGTGTGCTCCTGCAGACCTTATCTCCTCCAGGTGCCGAGCTTGATCTCCTCTCTTACACCCCTTCTACCTGGAGGATCCCCCTCTGGCTGCAGCACAGCAAGGACTGGCACAGCTTCCTGCTGGGACACGCTCCTCACCCAGCCCAGAGGAAGAATTTGGCCATTTTTCCCATCAAAGCCATTTTTCCCTCTTGGCTGGAGGCACCAGCAGCTCCCTGCAGAAGCACCAGGCTGCAGCAGTGAGAGCCCAGTGTGGCCAGAGCCACCCAGACCCCCCACACCTGGGCAGGTGAGTCAGGATAAATCAGGCCTGAGCAAGAGCTGTGCTGGCAGGTGAGAGCATTGGCTTGTTCACTGGGAGAAGCCACAACACCTCTGCCCAAGGATGGACTGTACAGCCTGGACATGCCCTAACTCCCCACTTTGCATGGGTACCAGGAGACAAAATGCAGTGGCAACTCAGGATGAGGACACAGAGAAGGAGGATATGGGGATGGAGGAACCTCCCTGGGGATGGGGTGGCTTGGAGCCCTAAGAGAGTAGTCTGGAGAGGAGAAGGTATCTCGCTCTCTTCCTCTGCCTTTGTGTTTTTATAAAGTTCTCCTCCAGAATTAGAAAATCCCCAGTTACATATATGGGTGCAGGGTGATGATCTCAGTGGTGACATCACCACAGATAAATGTGAGCTGAGAAGCACAAGGGCAGAAAATCCCAGGTCTCAAAT